CAGTGGCATTAATTTTGTTAGGAAAAGAGCTTGCTGAATCGTTATGCTTAAATGTGCAGGTTGCTTCTTTCCAACTAGCTTTGCTGAGAGAAAAGCTTCCTGCTTACCTGCGGCATCCTCACCTGCACGCACTGAGCCGCTCTTCGATCCCGTTAGGGCCACGTGAGGTGACTGTAATGGCGTGGCACATATCAGTGAGCTTTTGGGTGTACTTTTTACATCCATTGAGGCCAAGGTTGTAGTGTAGCCAGAAGAGGTAAGAGCCCAGATCCAAGATCAAGCTACTGTGTCGTAACAAGTTCCTGTGGCTCGGCTGAGCGCCGGCATCCGTCCATCTGTGCGTTCTTAGCTTGTGGCAAAGGCGAGGAGATGTGGAGTGTTGCAAGCCCTTCTCGTGATAGGTAAGTTACGTTGCTTTGTGCTTGGGGCACGAGAAGAGCTTAATTGCTGTGGTTCAGCAAAAATGCCTGTGTTACGGATCCGCTCTGTATGTCAGAAGAACCCTGTCAGCTTTAAATATGCTCTGTTAAAATAAAAGGTCTGACCAGTATGTCCTGCTGGGGCAGTTACCAGTGTCCAGTTACCAGACGTTGGGTCCGGGAGGAATTTTTCCTCAGTCAAGCTTGCCCTCTTCTGTGGCTTGAGGCTACAAGCTCACTCAGGAGTTTTGCTGGCCAAATGCGCTGCTGGACAGGGACTTCTGGTGGTGGTGCTACTCCTTCTCTCCAGCTCTCTTCCCCTGGCACAGTCTAGTCATGGCGGCTGGTCTTTCGATACGGGCGTTACCTTGGGTTTAGTGTGTTGTGGCCTCTGTGGCGTGGGTGTGCGCACAGTGGATGGGCTACAGCCTTAAAATATTTATTGCCTGTGGTTGCTAGGGCTGAAACTGGGGACACAAGTGGACCCTTCCTATCCTGTGTTCCACTATAACGCTGTTTCGTAAGCTTTGTTCTTCCACTACTAATGTTTGAGATTTTAGGATCAAGGGCTTCAGGGAAAAGACTGTAAAAGTAGGCTGCTTCTCCCCAGCTGGTGTGTAAACAGGCCTCATAAACAACATGGGAAGCTGTCTGACTAGATGGAGAAAACAGTCTAAGGGCTATTGGCAAAGCTGCTGCATTGAAAGAGTAATCAATCAATCAAAAGAGATGCAGTGTGGCTTTTGCCAAGCTCTTCAAACGATAGAAATCTCACATTTCTCATTGTTTGGATACTGTTGCTTTAAAATTAAACAACAATGAAAGGGGGCTGTACAAAACATCTAAGTGCATTGTCACTTAATCTTGGAGAAGTTTTATTTCTCCAGTAACTTCCAAAAAACAGCATTCATCAGGAACGATTTTGTTCATCTTAGCCAGTGAATCACTTGTCAAAAAGTAATGCTCTACCTTCTGTCTTCTCCTGGGACAGATCTGCCTTCTGGCAAAAGCGTGAGCGCGGTGGAATGCAGAGGCCTGAGATGTGCTGAGATTCACGTTGTAGCAGCGTGAAGAAGCCCACAGGTGTCTGTAGGAAACATAAAATGTTCTCAATAGCATCTCATGTCCTGAATGGAGACGTAAATATGTTGCTTTTCAGATCAGATCACTGCTGATCCCTTGTTCTGATGAGACTGATTCTTCCCTGGGTTTCACGGGTTGAGCGTTTGCCCAGTCATGCTGGTGAGGGAGGTAACTGGGACCCAGTCTGCCTGGTCAGAAAGCATCTCCTGTCTGCAGCCTGTTCCTCACTGCTGCACTGAGCTGTCAGCGTCAAAATACTTTGTCTCCTCTCCCACTCCTCACTCCCAAGGCATTTCCATATCACTTAAGTCTTTGCCTGGTGCTTAGTCACTTAAAGGGCCTTCACATCTCACAGTACATGGCACTCTGTGCTCCTTAGCCCATAACGACCTGTGCTAGGCAGGTGCCCAGGTACCTCCTTGTAAAAGGGGACGTTTTCAAAGACTCATTCCACTTCTAGGCCTGGTACCGATCTGTGATGGTTTGGCTAGATCCCCCTGGGCACTCGGGTGTCTCCCTGCCTGTGCTTGTGTTGGAGGTCACACCCAGAAGCCGGGCAGCTGTGGGCCATCGGATGAGCGTTTTTGAAGCTCATCTTCCTCTCATCCCACTTACTGCCCTGTGATTAACCTAGTGCGGTGGTCCTGGTGCTTAACCTGCATTACCTTTGAATCCGAAGACAGCCTACCTGATGCAGTCAAGCCATTAATGGGCCACTCACCAGGCTGGAGCTGGTTGCAAGTAAAACCCCCTGAACCTCAAGTAGTGTCAATATTGGGTCCTTATCGACAATTGACTCTACAGACCTAGTGCTTTTGGTAGTATGGGCATAGTCTCCGTTGACAGGGGCTGAGCTTGAGTGACAAGTGTTGCTGAGCACCGGGGGAAAACCAGCTGGGGCAGCACATGTGCCCGTAGGGTTTCCTGGCTCCCAGGTTGAAGGTAGCGCTGGTTGTTCCCCATCCAGGAAAGGAAGCAGAATAGACATATGGATGTCTGTACGCTCCCCACAGCCTACATTTCTGCACTGGAGGTTTCTGCCAACTTTGGGCTGTCTGCTGTCCGATTCTCTGGCAAAGATCTTGCAACCTGAGCTTGCTCTTGGAGGTGCAATGCGGGATGCTGATTCTCTGTGTTGCGAGGTGTGCCAGTCAGCTGATGAGTGGTATCTTGCATCTCTCTGAATGGGCTTGCTCTGAATTTGCATCTAAATGGGCACGGAGAGTTGTGAGTTAGGGTTTCTCTCTCCTATTGCAGCTTCCAGTTGCCAGCCCTGGTTTATCCTCGCCGTTCACCAAAATCTGACCATCTGCTGTTTCCAGCACCTGACCCTGGTCTAGTGAACAGTGAAAATTTTGTCCTGTAGTTACCTAAAAGAATCTGTGGCTTTTATAAAGGCTTTTATTTTATCATATGGATGGTCATCTTCTCAAGAACAGATAGCAGTTCCAAAAAAATGATGTAGTAATGGCTGGAAGGAAGAAATAAAGGCAGGATATAAAAGCAAAGGAGATTAGTTGGTACGACTAAGATCACTATGCTAGTAAAAAATTTCCAGATGTGACAGAAAAAAAAAAAGGTTTATTGTTTCAATCCTTTCCGTTTCAATATTTAAGCAGCTATTTTTTAAATCTGGAGTTACTAATGGTAGTGTCTGTAATGACCACATAGTTTAACAGGGAAGTGTATCCTGATATCTGCTTTTGCATTTCTTTTTGCGCGAAGTTCCTTGAATCAGGAGTTCTTTCTCATTTAATTTGCTCACATGGCAAAAGCAGCAGGTACCAGCTCTCTTCTGCAAATACCAATCGTGATGCATACACCACAGTTTGGGAACCCCTGTTTTAAATCCAAATTGCTTGTCTGTAACGTGAGTGCTTCCAGTCGATCAATTTATCAAAGTCTGTCTTGGTGCCCCAGATGTGGTGGTTTGGGGGCTGTTAAATTTGCTGTTTCGGTTAACTATCGCAGCAGGATGTTGTTATTTATTAAACCATGTTACAGTAAGTGCATGAAGCAAACCAAGAGAGAATCGCTGCCTTCACCGCTTAAGGAAGCGTATCCCTAAAGAGAAAGGGAGGCAGGAGAAATGGCAGTCATGGTCCTGGCCCTTCAGTGCGAGCCAGCAGGACACAGGGAACGACTCAAGCAGGGCTCTTCAAAAGGAGGCTGCCGATGCAGTCCCAGCATGGGAGTGAGCGTGTGGTGGGAGGAATTCTGGCCGAGGTGGACCAAATCCCCCCGGGGACTGGTGTTCCAGCCCAGCTCCTCTGCACGTTCAAGCATCTCCTGCACAATAGTACCCTCTGTGGCTCGGCCAAAACCCCGCAGCAGCTCTGCGGCAGAGATAAGAATAGAATCCAAGTTTGCAAGCTGAGGTCAGGGAGAGTCTTTCATTTAATGTGTATCAGACCTGCGCTCGGGCACGTGTGCTGGTGGGAAGATCATGAACAGATTTGCTCGTATGAAAGCCAACCCCCCCCTTAACGATTTGAAATGCTAACATGACTTGGCTTGTACGTGAGTAGGTAGAGGAATGATTTCACAGGAAGACAATCCTTTTACGAATGTGCTTCTAATTCTGTGTTCCTATTGCTTCTCCTGGATGTGTCAGCGGCGCGCTTAGGAAGCCCACTGGAAAAACAGCCATCCCGAAACCAGTGGGAGTATTTGGAAAGAAAAGGGGTACTCCCGTGAATAGAGACAGCAGCTCTGGGTCATTAACAGAGTTACTGGTGGGAGAACTGCTTGGGGTTTTCTCTGTCTCTCTTCAGGCTAAGTAAGCCTGATGTGCTTAAGTATGTCACCAGCAGGGATGTGCAAATGGATAGGGATGATCAGTGAAACTCTAGCTGGAGAATATGAAAGGCAGATGTTTTTCTCTAATACAGCATTGTGGCTTTGCTTGACGAGTGATTGTTTGATGCTGGGATTCCTAAAGCTGCTGCTCTCCTGTTTGCAGGTGAAGAGGAGGAGGATGGAATAGAAAGGACTTGTGACACCCTGCTTATGTGCATCGTGACTGTATTAAACCAAGGCCTGCGAAATGGTGGTGGCGTGGGAGACGTGCTCAGAAAGCCTTCCAAAGATGTAAGTGTTTTGGCTGAGGAAACGCGTCACTCCCTGTTCATCTCATCCATCTCATGAATGCCAAAGTCAGTTTTTGGAGGTTATAGGCTGTGTTTGTAGGTAGTCTGCTCTGATGTCACACAGTTGATTTACCCATGTAAATTTTACATCCCAGGTGGAATATGTAATGGGAAGAACTGAGTTTAGTGTGATGATGATACTTGAAGAAAGGACCTCTAGGAAGTAGTTTACCCCTTCTGGAAAAACGGAGTGTATTGGAACCTTCCAAGCACTGCTAAGAAGTGTGGCTGGATTGGATCACTCCTCTGTTACGCTAGGAGTTATAAATGAAGGCTTTTGAAAGGGACTGATTGATGAGTGTATGTCAAGACTCTCCACTCTAGTACATAAGGTGTATTTTTAGCTGAAATTCAGCATGGCATCTGCCCTGGAACAGGTCCTATTTACTTGTACGCAAATAGCACCAAAGTCAAAACAGAATTTCACATATTGCTGGTGCATGTCCTCTTCCAGAAGTTTCCGCCAAAATTCAGTTGATTGGAGGACTACTCATAATATTTGGGTGGGTTTATGCATTTTTATTTAAGTTCAAAAATAACATCATAAATAAAGGCAATCTAGCAGCACTTTGTTATGGTGTAGGTCACCAAGCACAAGGGTTAAATTCACAAGTAGGATCTCAGCATGGCTTGCAAGAGTCCAGACCTAAATAATTCAGTTGAGGATGGAAGAGCTCCTTGTGCTGGAAGTAGGAATCCAGGTCCTGTCTTATACAATGGGAGGTTCTACAGGAACTGTTGTCCATCCCCATGAAGTCTGTAAGCACTTACAGACTTTGAAAATGACCCTTGTCACTTAGCAGTTCTTTGTTGCTAACTGCATTGAATCACTTCACAAAGGGTGTTATCCCAATGGATGTGTTGAAAACCGAGAAAATCGGGGACTTCCAATTCAGTGTCATGGTGAAGACTTGAGTTTTATGTTCCTCCTCCTTACACTGGGTGTTGTCTCCTGTTTGCCATGGAACAGCTGGGTTATTTTTAGAGGTGTCAGTGGGAGTCCCGTCCAGCCTTTGGAAGAAGGAAAGTAGTTATGATGTAAAAACAAGAGTGTGGTGAAATGAGCACTTCATGTGTGTGTGGATACATGTGCACGTTGGGTTCCTGAAGGACGTGAGCTTGGTCTGCCCACTCTGAGCCAGCTTACAGCCCTGTGACCGCATCAGCACGGTGCAAAGACCATTAACATGCCCTGCTGGGGTGCAGAGTGTCACAGCCTGGCCTTGCCATCATGCAAGCACGCTCCCCTGGTTGCCAGTCGTTCGCTGTGGAGTATTCCACAGAGACATACCGTAAGCATACCCCGGTATGCCACAAGGCAGTGTTAAGAAGAGCTATCGTTGCTCTTAGTGGGTACTAGAAACTGCATATATCAGAAGGATATTGACCACTTGGAGCGAGTCCAGAGGAGGGCCACGAAGATGATCAGAGGGCTGGAGCACCTCTCCTATGATGAAAGGCTGCGAGAACTGGGCTTGTTCAGCCTGGAGAAGAGGAGGCTCCGAGGAGACCTCATTGCAGCTTTCCAGTATCTGAAGGGGGCCTACACGGGTGCTGGGAGAGGACTTTTTACAAGAGCCTGTAGTGACAGGACAAGGGGTAATGGGTATAAATTGAAATCAGGGAGGTTTAGATTAGATATCAGGAAGAAATTCTTCACAGAGAGGGTGGTGAGGCACTGGAACAAGTTGCCCAGGGATGTTGTGGATGCTCCATCCCTGGAAGTGTG